CGACCCGCTGGGCCTCGGGTCGCGCCGAGAGTTTGTCGTTGAGGTCCACGCCGGCCACGCGCTCTGTCCACGCCGCGACGCGCACGGCCTGGTTGGGCACAGCCTGCCCGCGCGCCCCCGCGGCCTCGGCGCGCGCGTAGCGGGCCAGCGGCCTCGCGCGGACGCAAGGGCTACCTACGCATCGTCCCCATGGTGGGCACGCGCGACCTCGCCGCGCTGATTCGCGCGCGGCCCGAGATTCGGAGGTTTGGAACTGGACACCAACAGCAAGACAAGGGCTTGCTCCAACCGGGTGAGGATTATCCTAGAATTCGGTATTGGTGGTAATCTTCTGGCCACCTAGGAAGCCCGATTATTACCACCACCGCCACCACCGAGATCGGGGCCATGCTCCCCCTCTGGGGGCATACCGCGAATATTGGTGCTGGTATCAACCTGTAGGCCTCCAGGTATTGCCGTCCTTCGTCCGCCCAGGGTCCATGCAGGACCGCGCCGTCTTCAGCGAGGGTGCTCCCATCTCCCCGAGCAGCGCGACCAGCCGAGGCTCCCACCGAGCCCACTCCTGCGCCTCCAGCCCGCTGCGGCTCTCCTCTGCTGCCGCGCGACACCTCGAGCGAAGCGGGTCCCCACCATCGCACGGGCCCCGGCGGCGGCGGGGCCTCGGGCGTTCCTCGGCTGGCCGCCACCATGATGCACGCCACGGCGTCGTCCAGCATGACCCGTTCAGGGCAGCCATGGAACGTCCTCGACCGCTTCTGCACAGGTTCCTCGACTATTGCCTGGTCCACGAAATCCCTCAGCCGCCGCCGTGCCTCCTCCACACCGCGGTCCGCGGCCGCCGCCACCTGCACAAACATTTCCTTGAACTCGGTCTCGTCCGCCTGAAGCGCCAGGCGCAGGCCGAGGATATCGTACTCATGAAACACGTTTCGGAAACGCCGCCGCGCGGCGTCGAGGGCGCACGGCACACGGGCCAGCATCTGCGTTCAACCGTTGCTCAAAATCAGCCGAGCGCCTGACCCCAAATGGACACAAGCAACATTTTCGTGTTGGCACACGGGGGCGTGAGGGACCAGCTGGCTGGCCACTTCCGTATTCGACGTGCGCACTGTGGGGTACAACGCTGCAACATCGTACCACCTTCGTTCCCTCATTTCAGGGGGACGTAAGACCTGGGTACAGGGGACTCGGAAATCCCCGACGAGGTCGTCAAAAAAATGACGAGGCCGAGCCTGCATTTTGACGAGGCCTCCCGCTGCAGACATCCCACGAAACTCCTCCTCGTCAAAATCCGAGGCGCGGTCGTCAAAAAAACGATGGCGAACCCGAGTCCTGGCAAACCCGGGTCTTACGCTCCCCCGATCATTTCCCCCGCAAGACCGGCCGCTCGCCGAGCGGGGGCGGCGGGTGGGGCCTGCCGGCCACGCCGAGGGCAGATTTGACACCGATGCCCTTGCAGAAAACGGTGCTGACGATACTGCGCGAACAGAAACTTTGGCGAGGACGCGATGTCACACACCGCGCGGACCTTGGCGCGGCATCCGGGTGCGAGGCTCGAGAATCGAGGCTCGAGGATCGAAGCTCGGGGTTGGACGTTGGAGGCTCGAGGATGGGGGATCGAAGCTAGAGTTAAGTCGGGATTTTCGACGAAAAATTCGCCGGCCCAACGGGCCAGAGGCGTGCTAAGATCTCCGATAACTACTTAACAATATTTCTAGTTCGCGCGCGCGGGGCGGCCCCTGGGGGGCCCCGGACGAAAAGTACCCCGGCCGATCCCCGGCTGGGTCCCGGGTGATCCCCAAGGGGGAGGCTATTTTTCGCCACCCCTCACGAGGATCGTTGCCTCCGAGGGGGGGGGCTGCAATTGACTACCCCCCCTCCCGCCCCAAGGGGCCCCCAAGAGCCCCCTAAGAGGCCCCAGGGGAGCCCAATACGCCGCCAAGGAGCCCCAAGACGCTCCCAAGAAGCCCCCCCCAAAGCCCCCAAGACGGGCCCAAGAGGCCCCAAATAGCGCTCCAGGGCCGGCGAAATGAGCGAAGCGACTCAATAAAAAATTCGCAAAACAGACTACGATATGATAAAAAATGCGGAACGGGCCCGACTTAAAGCTAGAGGCTCGAACGCATGCGTCGCCATGGACGTAAAGCTGAAGGCTGTGGCTGCTGGACGGTAAGCGCTGCAACAATCGATGGCAGGTTTCCTCCAGCCCACTCAGTCGAATGAAACACATACTCAGGGGTCGCACTACAAAGCATGAGTGCTCGGCATAACTATCATGCGCGCTGCGCCTGCAAACGTTGACAGGGCGTGCGCGAGCAGGTGGTACCAATCACTGACGTACTCTTGTGTGTTCTGGCAATTATCGTGTTTCTTGCAGATAAGCTCGACACAAGTCTGCAGCATCGCTACTGGCACACCGTGCGTTCGTTCAGCAACCATCCATGTCATCCTTCCTAGTCGATACTCCTGAGATCTTCAATGGGGCCACCTGCTTAACTGACCGGATCTCCCCAACAATCTCGTTCCTGATCCTTGCGTTCCCGCGCGTGCCGTACATGTTTGGGGGCTCCAGAGACCAAGCCGCACAACACGTCTGACTGGCCCCGTGAGAGCAACTGGTGTCGCTTTCGATCTCTGTATGTAACGATAGGGGGGGAACTGGCACAGGGGGGACAGCGACCAGGATTCGGCGACGCATCGCCGATAGATCGGCGACAGGCCCGCGATAGCGAATCCGTACGTTCCTGGACGGTGTGGGTTATCAGGCCCCTTATCGGAGATGAATGGGTGACTGGGGGTCGACCCATTCCCCGATGAGCCCCGCCCCCCCAATGCTGCCCCCAAGTTGAACGCTCGTCGCCCTCTTCGGACCTCTGGGGACCTCCAGGGATCAGGATCCAGTGCGGGAGCAGGCCTCACCACACCCTTGCCTGGATCGACCCTCGTCTGGGTGTCCCTGCACCCTTGCACCCGTGCGTCTTCCCCCTCACCTGAGGCTGGAAGCCGGGCTGGGCTTTGGCAGGGAGTGAAGAGGCCCCGGGACACACACACACACACACACACACACACACACATAGACATACACAAATAACAGGACAGGATCCCCCATATGTCCCCATGATCATTCTCGGGGCTTCTGTCCTCCCCCCCTTCCCATATTTTCCCCTATCTTTTCTGGGGAATCGACGACTCCTTGTGTCTGTGTGCTCCCTGCCCTCCCGAACCATATGTTCCCATGATTATTTTCGGGGCTTCTGTCCTCCCCCCCCCCTTCCAATATTTTCCCCTATCTTTTCTGGGGAATCGACGACTCCTTGTGTCTGTGTGCTCCCTGCCCTCCCGAAGGGGAGGCCCCGAGGGGGAGGGGGCCCGAACCATATGTTCCCATGATTATTTTCGGGGCTTCTGTCCTCCCCCCCCTTCCCATATTTTCCCCTATCTTTTCTGGGGGATCGACGACTCCTGGTGTCTGTGTGCTCCCTGCCCTCCCGAAGGGGAGGCCCCGAGGGGGTCCCCGAGGGGGTCGGCCCGCGGCGTCCCCGAGGGGCGCCCCCGAGGGGGTTCCCGAAGGGGTCGGCCCGCGGCGCCCCCGCAGGGCGTCGGCCCCGCCCCGCGGGCCTGCCCGGGCCCCCCCGCGCGAGGAGCCCGCGCGCCACAGGGGCACACGGCGCCTGCCGCGGGCCGCCGGCACGGCCCCGAGCAGCACGCTGTGTGCCATATTCCAGGGAGGACAGCAACCTCCTCCTCCTCCTCCTCCTCCCCCTCCTCCTCCTCCTCCCCCTCCTCCTCCCCCTCCCCCTCTCCCTCCCCCTCCCCCTCCCCCTCCTCCTCCTCCTCTTCCCTTGTGGACACAATTGGAGGACGATTATGTGCACCGTACAAACAGAGACAGGTCTACCCTTGACTGAATGAGCGGCGCCCGGGCGCCCACTCCCAGCCCCGCGCGCGGCCGCCCTCACGGGCGAACTGGGAGTCGCCTCGCCTCGCCTCGGGGAGGGCTCGGAGAACTTCTCGGCAGGCCCAGGGGACCTTCGAGCCTCCTGAGAAGGCCCGCCCCTTCTCACTTCCCCCGGGCTCGCCACCGACTGGAATCCAGAACACGAGGGCACGGGTATGGATGTTTGCGCCGCCCCGAGCAGTTCAGCGTCGGCGCTGGTACATCCGCAGTGGAAAACCGCCCCCGTCCAGCTTTGTCCCAGATCACATGTGTTCAAACTCCCATGCGGCAAAACGTTGGGCTGCTGCTCCCGGGGCGCCACGGCCCCAGGTAAGACGACGCGAAGATCGGGGCAAAACAGGCTCGGGAGAGCTCGAAAAATCTCTGAGAAGCGGCGGGTTTGGAGGGTGTATCGGGCGCCGCGGCCGCTCCAGAGCGTTCCGGAACGCTCTGAGAGCGCTCCGGAACGCTCTGGAGCGATTTATCCCGATCCTAGCCCTGTTTTACCAGACCCCCTCGAGCAAGGAAGAAATCACGACGGGAGGTGTTCTGCAGTTTTCGGCTTCTGTGGGGGCCCTCACCGGGCCTCAGGACCGTGAAAAACGATTCAGGGTGAAAAACCGGTCCCGGGGAAGAGGTCTAAACCTCATGAACAAATCATGGGACAGGGGGAGGCAGGAGGCGGAAGACAGGGGAGGGACAGGAGAGATGGGGAGGGGGGGGGGTGAGGAGAGGCGGGAAGGGCAGCAGCACGCAACGCAGCGGCAGGAGAGAGAGCGAGGAGGAGGCAGCAGCGTGCACAGCGCGCACCCTGCGTGGCTCCTGCCCAGGTCTCTGGGGATATTACAAGTCCGGCAGGCGAAGAGTCACTGTACCGGAAAGCGAAGGGGAGGGGCTCTCATGAGCGAAAGCTCTCTCGGGGGCACTGTCTCTCAAAGAGGTTTTCTTTCGCGCGTGTAAAGGACGACCTATGGTGCAATGGCCGTAGAGCGTGGCGTAGAATTAAAGCGGATGGATCTGAAATGTCTAGCAGGTACCTGCCAACAGGCGCTGCCCTGGCACCTCACTCGTTGGAACCTTCGGAAGGTGCCGAGGGCTCAGAAGCTTCCGACTGCTCGGAGTCGGAGTCGTCATCGTTGTCGTCCTTGGGTGCGGGCCCGTCACCGCGGGTGAGCCACCATAGGCGGCACAACTCCAGGCACCATTCGACGTGTTTCGGTTTGAAGTGGCTTGGAAGGAAGGCGTGGAAATGCTCGACCGAGGGCGAATTGCTAATGCGCTGGCTGTCGACGGATGTGCAGACCACGAAGGGGTCCCTCCTTCTTTGTTCTGGCGTCATCTTTTCCATGGTCTGCCTCAGCGTGAATGCCCAAGATTCGGTGCCAAGGAGAATTATGAGCGGCCTGGTAGCATCTCCCCCCTGTGCCTCTTGGACGAGCTCCAACAAATCGTCCTGGTCGCACGCCTCGTTCACGGCGTCCTGGCTGACTCCAACTTGGACGAAAGCCGTGGACGACGAGAGCCGGCATATGGGCTCGTCGTCAGCGGCGATGAGATCGATCTGCGCTGGGCTGAACTCCTTCCACGCTGGAAGGTGTCGTCCATGCCCCATGGTCCACCACTTCCTGAGCGCGTCCAGCACCTGCATGAGGAAAGTTGTTCCGAAGGGCTTTGGGAGTACAATCTGAAAATTCCCCTTGCCCTCGTCCACTGTGACCTGCCGATGGATTGACGAGATACAGATAACGAACGGCTCCCGCCTGAGCGCCTTCTTCTTCACGAGCTCCTGGATCTGCAGGGCGCACTCGCGGCCGTCCATGCCAGGCATTCGCACGTCCAGGATGACCACTAGCGGCTTCGTTGGGTTGCCCTCCGTCTGCAAGCGAGCGAGGTGGTGAAGCCCCTCGATGCCGTTGGCGGCCTCGTGGATATTGTTGCGGACAAAGCCGACCTTTAAGAGTTCACGTATTGCTGTCTCCCTGAAGACTTCCTCGTCCTCCGCGTAGACGACCTCGACTGTTGCCGGGTCTATGTCAAAGTCTCGCGCAGGCAGAGGACCACTGGCTTCCTCCTGGACCTTTCACACCGTCCACAAATGGGGGGAGCTGCGCCCTTTGGCCCCCGGGGGTGGAGTACATCGCATCGACGATCTCCCGACTACAGGCGAGAGTGACCCTAGGCTTAGGTCGGGCATGTCCTCCTACAGGCGGATTTTGGAGGAACAACAAAAAGTCAAACAATGCTCTAAACTAGCCCAACATAGTCAAGACAATCGTTCCCACACTATGCTTTAACTATCGTTGCACATCCCTCCTGTAGAGGGACACGCCCGACTTGCCCCTGTGCAGCAGTGCCCTTGGGTGCCCGCCCTGCCGATCGCTGCGCTGCGATGAGGTGCAGCGGGCGGCTCGCCGTGCTCGGGTTCTGCCTCCCCCCCCCCCCCGCACCCTCCCGCCCCCGAGCGCTGCGCACCGCAGGTCACTGCGGCGATGGGTCACTCTTACGCGCACGTCAGGTCCGTGTCTTGCCGACTTCGGCGCCGGCTTCTGACACCTCGGGATCGTCAACCTTGCACGATCGGCCGTTTCCGAGACCTCCAAGTCGTTCCGCGTCGAACGATTCTGGGTCGCCACTGGTCGACACGACGCGAACCTACCGTAACCGGATGTCTGTTTCCCTCTCTCTCTCTCTCGAGCGGTGTCGACGCCGATGGCATCCCCAGGGCATGGGGACCGCAACTCCCCCGATTGTGGCCGGCATGCCTTCTTGACGGGCGACGGTGTCCGCGCACGAGGCGCAGGAATGTCAGACCTCTGCCCGAGGACAGGCTGCTGATCGGCCGGCGCCGACATCGCCGACCTCCCGACGAGTGCGGCCCGGTCTAGGAAGCGAGCAAAGCCTACCCCGGGAATGGACGATCATACTCGAGCCAGAACGGATATGGCATTCAGATGATAGGGGAACGAACAATGAAATAAACATAAAAACTCGGAGGTCCGCGCGGATTTCTGGGCTCCGCGCTGGACCCTGCTGGCGGCGCCTCTGGCGCCGCCCCTGGGGCGCTCCGTGGGGTCCAGCGCCGATCCGAGAAATCCGCGCGGACCTGCAAATTTTTGTGTTAATGCCATTTTTCGTTTCCCTAGATGAGGACGACGTGCCGACGATACCGGTGCTCGTCCCTCGCCTCCACAGCTGGATTCGTCTCCAATTCCTGGTCCGAAAGCACCTCTGCACAGGCCCGTGGAGTGGCGGGCAGCGGCATATCTCCCAGGCCGTGCGTTCCAACCCTGCGGGGCCACGACTGGGGGGGACTGACTCGGGGGGGGGGTAAACATTGACCTGGGATCAGCGATGCATCTCCAATGGATCGGCGATGGCCCCTCGACGGCGAATCCGCACGCTCCCGGGCGGGGCGGAGCCATCAGACCCCGATCGGCGATCAAAAACATGCTGTGACCGAATGGGCTTCCTGCGCGCCCTCGACGGGGACGCCACGGCTGGGCAGGCGACTGGGGCATGACTCGCCACCCCTGCGGGCCAAGGGCGGGCCAGAGTCTCCTGCGAGGGGCTCAGGACTCAGTCGTGCAGTGCCAGTTTTCGCGTGCGCGCGTGGCCCATGGAGGCCGCTGGAGGAAACATTGGGGGGGCTGCCCCGACTTTTTGTTCCGCACCAAGCGTTCGTTCGATCACCGCGCCAGTATCATCTGATGGTGTGATATCCAAGCACGGGCGGGGCGGCCAGAGTGCTCCAGACCAAACCGTATGTGTACCCCAGGGCGGAGCTCGGCGAGGCGCGCGCAGTAACGGTTTGGACGGCCAGCGCTTACCATCCCCAGCCCCCAACACTGTAGGGCTTACAGCTGGCCCACAGACTCTGAGCCCCGTCTCGGGGACATGCGATCAGGTCGGGCATGTCCTCCTACAGGCGGATGTTGTGCGACAGAAATCAAACAATACTCATCAATAATCAAAATCTAAAACCGTCCCCAGACTATGTTTGAATACTTTTGAATATTCCTCCTGTAGAGGGGCATGACCAAGTCCATCCTACGAAGGAAAGGAGACCCAAACCTTCCCAAATTAAGCGGGCCTTTCGCAACATGGTGGCCCCCCACCGGGCCCTCCGCAGCACAATCGAAGTCCCCAAAGTGGGGGCCTCGCCGCACCCGGCCTCCCGCAACGTGCGCAGCGCCTTCCGCAACACGCGCCGCGCCTTCCGCAACATGCACCGGGCACTCCGCCACCCAACGCGCACGCCGTGCCGGGCATTCCGCTCATGATAGGTTCCCCATGCAAGCGCCGCGCGCCATCCACACCATGGCCGGCTCCTACCGCAGACGCCCTACAGGGCCTTCCGCAACACGGTTGGTTCCCAAATGCGGGGGGCGTGCCAGGCCTTCCGCAGCATGCGCTGCGCCTTCCGCAACATGGCCTGTCCCTGGCGAAGACGCCGTACCTGGCCTTCCGCAACATGGTCGGTCCCCAACCTAGGCGCCGTGCCCGGCCCGCCCGTTCGGGCCGGCCCGCCCGACCCGCCCGTTGGGGCCAGCCCGCCGGACTCTCCCGCGAAGGTCTGCCCGCCCGACCCGCCCGTTAGGGCCCGCCAGCGAGACCCGCCCGTCAGGGCCCGCCCCACCTGCCCGTCAGTGTCCCCCCGCCTGACCTGCCTGTTACGATCCGCCAGTCTGAAGGGGTTGGGAGGCCCAACAATACGCTTCGCCTAAGGCGAAACCCATATCCAACTTTGCTGTACCGTAGTAACGATAGCCCCAAGAGTAGAAGATCGTCGCGGGAGCAACGGGCCATGTCAAGCGAAGCTGTTTTGGGTCTCGATGACAAGTAGCGCGCCTCGCGCGATGAGGCGCAGATACATCCTTGCGGCCGACCGCTTGATCACAAACGGCCGCGGACAAACGCTCGCCACCCCTCGCCTTTGCCTCAGCCACCTGTAGAGTCGGGGGGGGGGGGGGGGGGGGCGAAGCGCGGCCCCGCCGCCAGCTATACAGTAAAACGCTATAATGTACAAGGTAAGCAGCAGCAGGCGGGCTCAACAAGGCAGGTTGACCCGCGCGCAAGTTCCCTTGCAAGCAAGTTGACTCGCAGGCAAATTACCTAGCAGATGGCTACTCCTCAGGCGGCTCAGACGATCTTGTCTGGCCAGCCCTGCATGGAATGCGTCGCGTTCTCCCCCTGACTTGTAGGGGCATGTTTCTGCGGGTGCTCCCCTTGGTGTGGCCGCCCGCGGTCATGTCGCGAGTGTCACACCACTGTGCGCAATGCGCGATACCTCGCCCTATCGTCTGTCGCATCCAAGCGATGTGTCCCAGAAGCGCGCGCTCCGTTGGCCCCTTCAGATCTTTGCTTGACAAGGACTCAAAGACAGATTCTGCATCGGTGGTCAAAATGACCTCAATGCTCAGGCCGCCCATCCCAAGTATGTCTCTCTATTGAGTGGGAGTCGGCTGCCCTGCGTGAAGTTCGCGCAGAGTAACGATCGTGGGATAGCAGTCCTCCAACTGATGGGCCGCTGCAGATGTTCCTGCTGAGTAGCTAGAGCGGGCATGCAAGCGATGAGACTTGCAATGCGCGCCCAAAAGATGGGCGACAAGCTAGCCAGCGCGCGTGCGTCCACGCCGGAGCAGGCATTCCCCGCAAATACCATAGCCTTCGACCTCGTCGCCCGCATCTCCGCTCAGACGTCGGTAACCGGAGTCGCTGTGCAGGTCGACCTCGCCCGTCGGAACCACCGCTTGATAGGCGATCTTCTTAAGGCAAGCCTGCAATTTACCGGTAATCGCGCTGAGTCGTCGCACTTTCATGTTGCTCGGTTCTTGGGCGCGCCGTAGAGATGCAACCGCGTTTGCGTGATGATGGCGCAAACCAAAGCGCCTCTGAGGCTGACGGACATGTCAGTGACCATCTTCGATGCCCTGGCCTCAGCGCCTGCGCCCGTGAGCTCGTGATGTTGGATAGGGCTGAGCTGTTTTATGCATTCGCATTGATCAAATATAGCAGCACCGTTGCCGTCCTTCGCGTACCTCACAGCACAATGAGTATATGCGTGCTTGTTTTTTTTTTAATGTGCCAAACGTACCCCCAACGCACTTGGCGCGCCCGTCGATGGTGTCCCTAGTGCAGGTCATGTTTATGTCATCAACATGCTTGGCTGTGCGAAGGTCGGAGCTGGTCTCTGCTCCTTGCGCGCTGCCGCGCTGACGAGCAGTCGCTGACTCGACCGCCGCGGCGTCCCTGAGAACGTCTCCACACCGAAGGCTTCGAGGTCCATGACACCCCGAAGTGCCAAGCGTAGCATGATGGTACGTCCATCTCGCCCTTCTCGTTCTTGACGAATTTCCATGCGCGCACGTATCCCGAAGTCATGATGTTCGACGCTTCGGAAACATCTTGCATGTTGATACACGCATTGGCAAACCATGTCTGAGGTTCAGCGCAGAGGGCCTTCGACACCTTGACTGGATTCGCCTGGATATCAGCCTCCGTGAGGAGGTCGTCCTCCTAGACGCGCAGCTCGTTTAGCTGCGGCGGTCGCGCGTGTCCGCATAGTGGTCACGCGGTCGAAGCCCAATACTGTGCGTTGTTGCTCGGATAGGACTACCTTTGGCATGTCTGCCGCAAACAGAGCTCGACGTATTGTCCGTGCTCATCAGAGTCCAATCCATAGCTGTCGTCTTCATCCGTGGAGCACAATGGGACATGATATGTCTCCGTCGCCACGAGGTCCTGTGGGTTACCCCGCGCAAGCAGGTGCCCCCGCTGTTCGTCAGCTACTGTGACCAGCGCGTTATTGTCGGTGATCACCTGCGTGGGTGCAGTATAGAGGTCGTCTATTGGAGTTGCCTCCAGTAGTTCCCTTTCGTCTTGTAGTTCGTTGTGCCGCACTTCCATGATGCGCGCCTTGAGGTCCGCCTCTGATTCCTCGTAGATGGTGGGGGGCCGTCCGTATTCCTTGCGTGGTTCGGCTTCTGGGGCCTCCCTGGCGTCGTTGCCTTGCATTGGCGCGTCGGCCAGCTCATCGAACTTCGCCATGTCTTGGTCCAAGCCCACCTGAGGCTTGATGGACTTCGAGCACTGGATGGTCCTAGAATGGACTGATCCAGTTCCACCGCATACGTTGGGGCAGTGCCTTCGGCTTTGTGGCAATGGAAGCCTGGGTTCACGTCGTTGTCATAGCGCACCAATGTACAACTGTCAGCATACGTCACCGGATGTAACTCGTGAGTGCTCCTAGCAAACCAGGAGCTACGCACTCGATACGAAAGAAGGTCCTGATGAAATACTGAAGAGCTAAGTGTACTTCGGGAGATAATCGGCTTGCACTCGTCATGTGGAGCACTCCGTTTTTGGACGGGAGGTCCGCACATGTCATAGCAGGTCGCCCCACAGGTAGACTGGCTACGGATGCCAACGCAGTCCGTAATGCTGCGTTGCCCAAGCCGGTCTTTCGAGAAATCAAAATTTCAATGTACAATGAATGTCGTGCATCGCCGCACTGGGCTTGTACATCGCGAATTGCTACTCTTATGAAGACTTGACCCCTGTCGGGATCATTCCGTGCGACCGGGAAAGGTCCGTCCCAGCAACCCCAATCGTCCTTTGTAGTAGTCGGTCGATGATCGTCAACCAGATCTCCTTCGTCATAGTGGTGCTGACCAATGACGTTAGTCTTGGTCCGTAGTGCACGGTTCCTTTTTACTACTGCAGTGGCTTGAGTAATAGCCTCAATGCCTACCGGGTGGATCGTCTTTTATAGGCAATGGTCGGATATCTCTGTCTGATATTCGTGATCCAGAACAGGCAGGTCGGGTAGCAGCGCCGGCTGCCGGCCACAGGG